CGTACATTCCTCCCATCCAAGGTGCAAACTCTGGGATGTAAGTAAATTCGATGTGGTTTTCACTTACATAAGACAGTAATTCTGGTGTAGCGAGATGTTCAACAAACATATCATTCAAGAACGAGGAAGCCCTCTTAAACTGAGTAGCGTTGTCCAAGTAAATCTTCTTCGGAGTACCTCTTCTTCCCACAAACCTCCTGAGAGATAGTAAGAATTCTTCTGACGACAAGTTATTGGTGATCTCTAAATGAACAGCTCTCGTGACTAAACAGGTGAATATGCAACCGTAAACTTTTGAAACTTCAACTCTAGAAGCTTGAAAGGATTTAATGTAGAGAGGGCCAAAGTAGTCAAGTCCTGTAAATTGGAAAGGTATACTTTCAGTCACCCGTTCTGTTGGAAGCGAGGGTATTTGGGGCAGCTTGTATGGTCCACCTTCGTATTTTAAACATTTCAAACATTTTCGCAAAACTCTGTTGACTTCAGCTCTGCCATGGATTATCCAAAAGGATTTCCGAAGTTCCGAGAGAGTTTGTTGCACTCCCATGTGAAAAATCTTACAGTGACACTCTTCTATGAGCAGTTGAGTAAATAAATCGTTCTTTGGTAGAAGTATAGGGAACTTGCAATATTCTTCAAGGTCTGCATTTGAGATCCTACCCTTACATCTGATAAGTCCATTCATATCAACGAATAGGCCAAGTTGATTCTGCAATCTATCATACCTACCATCTCTTATATTACTTAGTGTTTCACTAAAACAAGTGTTTTGAACATGTTTGATCCACGATAAACGAGCATCTTTGAGTTCTTCAGATGTAGGAATAACATGATTTGGTTGTTTATTCCGTCTGCATCCACTTATAAACCTTTTACAAAAAACTGTTGTCAAAATCAGTTTCGAAAGTAATGAAAACCTTTGTATATCTATGCCAAAAGGACTACTAGTTTCACTTACGTCTTCGGTCTTTGTAGTCAAGGTGACGACGTTTTCTTCAATAGTTTCAACCATATCGTCTTCAGTTAATGGCTTGTTAAAATCAGAAGACCAATCCGGCCACAAGTCTTGACTACAAGACATCCATTGTGGACCTGACCACCATTCATTGCAGTGTTTCAGATTATCCACCGTTTTACCTCGAGTCGCCATATCAGCTGGATTTTCGTCAGTAGGAACGTATCTAAATTGCGTCTCGGTGTTGGTTTTGATCTCCATTACTCTTCTCTCCACAAACTTAGGAAGCAGCTTTGTTGTGCTAATCCAACGTAACACGCATTGTGAATCAGTCCACAGTATCTTATTTACAACAGGAAATTTTAAGGATTCTTCCACAAAACGTAATGCTCTTGTTCCAATCAACACTCCTAAAAGTTCGAGTCTTGGAAAGGTAATTTTCGGCTTTGACTTTGGGGTTAAATGGCTTTTACAAAACATGAGAGTCACTTTGACAGTCTCCTTACTAATTAATTTGATATACACAGCACACGAATATACATCCTTTGATGCATCCGTAAAACAATGGAGCTCTACATGATCTGCTCGTAATCCTGCGAATCGAGGAATAGAAACTTCAGTTACTTTAATAATATCATCACATATAATATTCCATTCCCTACATTTAGGCTCATCTAGTAATTCGTCCCAATCCAAATTGTCTTCCCACATCTGTTTGAGAAAGATTTTAGCCTTCAGTGTTACAGGGGATAATAACCCTAAGGGATCAAAAACGGATGATATAGTACTTAAAACTTGTCTTTTTGAAATAGGTTTGTTTCTGTCATTGTTAACAGGTTTTATGTGAAGATTGTCAAGATTGGTGTTCCATCTTAATCCAAGAACATTAACATCAGTAGGATTCTCAGTTGTAGTTTTTTCCATTGGTATTTGTGTCATTAGTGTCTTTGAGTTTGAAGACCAACATCTAAGGTTCATGTTAATATCAGAGAACAAACTAGAAGCAGTTGTAAATAGTGTTGTGGCCTCTTGATCTGTGTCACATCCGGTAACCACATTATCAACATAAAATGAAGACTTCAACCTTTCATTAAGATTATCAAGTTCACAATTTGACAAATGATGAAAAACAGTAGCACTGAGTAAAAATGGACTGGATATGATTCCAAACGGAACCCTACAAAATCGATACTCCTCAATATTATCCTTAGTAGGTGCTGACAAAGGATCTTTGAGCCACAGAAATCTAGTTACATCTCTATCTGGAGTTTGAAGATTTATTTGAAGGAATGCCTTCTCAATATCAGCAATAATTCCAATAGCATTCATTCTAAAACGTAAAAGTAAACTACATAGGTTTTCCAAAATTACAGGTCCACGGTAAAGACAATCATTAAGACTATTGTTGCCTTTTCTGGTTTTTGCTGACGCGTCATACACTATCCTAAGTTTAGTTGAGGTTTTCGACTCAGTGATAATAGGGTGATGAGGTATATAGTGAAGGACTCCATCGTTTCTGTCTGAAAAACTCACTCGTTCGATTATACCTCTGACACACATAAGACCTCTGACTACCACTATCAAAAAGAACACCACAACGCGTTTCTTGTTTAGTATCAGCATTACGCAAAGTAATAGTTGCAGTTTGAAGAATAACACTCTCCGACATAGAAATTAAAGCAGACTCTTCGGTATCTATAGGTACCTTGCTCGGGTTGAAGTTACTTGCAGGCAAAGCTTTGGCATGATTAGTTGATCGGGTGTCTACTTTGATGGTGTTTCTAGAAATTTGGTCTGTAGGAAACTGTTTGGTACATAAGCTTCTATTGTGATTATTCTGTTGTTTAAACGGAACCCTACAAAATCGATACTCCTCAATATTATCCTTAGTAGGTGCTGACAAAGGATCTTTGAGCCACAGAAATCTAGTTACATCTCTATCTGGAGTTTGAAGATTTATTTGAAGGAATGCCTTCTCAATATCAGCAATAATTCCAATAGCATTCATTCTAAAACGTAAAAGTAAACTACATAGGTTTTCCAAAATTACAGGTCCACGGTAAAGACAATCATTAAGACTATTGTTGCCTTTTCTGGTTTTTGCTGACGCGTCATACACTATCCTAAGTTTAGTTGAGGTTTTCGACTCAGTGATAATAGGGTGATGAGGTATATAGTGAAGGACTCCATCGTTTCTGTCTGAAAAACTCACTCGTTCGATTATACCTCTGACACACATAAGACCTCTGACTACCACTATCAAAAAGAACACCACAACGCGTTTCTTGTTTAGTATCAGCATTACGCAAAGTAATAGTTGCAGTTTGAAGAATAACACTCTCCGACATAGAAATTAAAGCAGACTCTTCGGTATCTATAGGTACCTTGCTCGGGTTGAAGTTACTTGCAGGCAAAGCTTTGGCATGATTAGTTGATCGGGTGTCTACTTTGATGGTGTTTCTAGAAATTTGGTCTGTAGGAAACTGTTTGGTACATAAGCTTCTATTGTGATTATTCTGTTGTTTACAGTAAACACACCTTTTATGTGATTTACAAAATTTCACAGTGTGTCCCTTACTTAAACATACGTAGCACCTACCTTGAATTGCTTTCTTACGTGCCTCAGCAGATTGATATTTTGTACATTGGTCATTCCAATGTGTTCCTTCACAAAAAATACAATTTAATTTATCGTTTCCCACGAGTGAGTGGGTAGTTGTCAACCTCTTAGTGTCCGCCTGTGGATTGGGAACAGTAACAAAACTATTAGAGTAAGATGAAGTGCTAGGTGTTGAGGTCGTCAGTTGCTCTGCTTTCTCCCGAATCGAAATTAAGTTATTTACAAATTTGCACAAAGTTTTAACATCCAATTCCCCAGAAATATTCATTTCTTCAACTTTCAAAACAATCTCATAGGGCAGCTTACTGAAAATTTGAGAAACAAAGTAGTTAGAAGTAACGTCTTCACCTAAGGCTTGAAGACAACGCATATGTTTCTCAATGTTGTCAAATCCTCGCCTTAGTGTTACCGTGTCACTGGACTTGATAGGTGGCATATCCCTCAAGGCACAGTAATGAGAATTCACTATTACCTGTTTCTTAGCAAATCTGTCTTTCAACAAGGTAATAGCAATATCATAGTTTAGATCTGTAATGGGGAGTCCAGCGATGCAACGTTTAGCGTCACCTTTTAATTGTGCAATCAAATAGTTAAATTTGTCAACGTTACTGAGTGTGGGGTGGCTATGAATGGCAGACTCAAAACTATCCCAAAACTCCTGCCACCGTAGCATGTCCCCTTGGAAGGTTGGTAATACCAACTTTGGTAGTTGAACATACTGGTGCTGTATAGTTGGTATTGGCTGAACGGTAGACGTATCAGGCACTGTTGCCTGTGACTTATTAGTTTGAGAAATATCTAGTCTTACCGTAAGCTGTGCAAGCACCTCCTCACAGTCCATCATAGTATTTATGAAGTCGTCCTCTGTGGTGGGTCCTTCAGTTTGTCCATCTTCAGTAATAGGCTCGGTGTCCAAACGTTTTTGAATTTCTTCCACTCTCTTTACAAAGCTTGTCAAAGTCCGTAGTCGTGTTTGAAGTTGTAGTTCTGTTAAGTCTGTAGTCTCCAAGAATGCATTTGTATCAGTAGTATAAGTCTTCAGTCGTAGTAAGGCAGATTTCAATCGAAGGTCCCATCTTGAAGTCATTCTTTGTTATTCAGGAAAGTGAAGTTCAAAGTTGGAAGTTGTAACAATTTTGAGTAAAGAAGTTAAGTTTAGAAAGTTGTAAAAAGTTAAAGCAGGAAACCACGCTCTGCTACCATATTGTGATATCCGTGGATAAGTAAAGTTATGTTTGGTTATCCTGCTTTAAATTAAGTTTTAAGTTAATAAATGTAGAATAAATAAAGAGTTAAAATTGTATCAACTTTCTTTCTTTAGTATTAGTTTATTTACATTCAATTATTTCCATGGAAACCAAAAATAAAAACCAGCTGTCTCAGCACATATGTCTTGTAATGTTAAAATACTTACTACAGGTTGTACTCGTCTGGAAGGTTGGGATGGTCCAGCTAATTCAGCAGTCATTGCTCGCCGCATTGCAACATTAGCTCGTGTATTAGACGACGACCTATCTACAGATAGCCAAATTCCATCGGTTGAGGATGCCTGGGCTACAGCTGAAGTTGAAGGTATTGAATGAGGTGTAATAGGAGGTACTACTAATGAGGGTCTAACAACAGAAACTATTGTTGGTGAGAGCTGTTGAAAATAAAATTAGTATTAGTAATAGGCGGGGTGTTATTAAAATAATATTAAATTGTTTAGGTAATGCTACCTACATGTTCTGATGAAAACATTCGTAGAAAACTTGAAGGTTCCAGTATTATCATATTTGTAATTTCTTCATGTGGAAATCCAGAAATAGGGATTGAAGCTGAAGGGATGTTTGTTAGGTCCCTCTCATAAAACACACCATCTCTCTGAAACAAATAGTTTAAAATGTAAATAGGTATAAGATTCTCTTAAACTATAAAAATCTTTTTGTCTCTATATAACTCACCATAAGAATTCGTAGAACACAGGTAACATCATTAATCCTTGAAGTTATATAATAATCCTCAACTAACAGCTCCTGCAAAGCTGTTGTATAAAGCTCGCTTACACACCTCTCAGCATAATCTTGGTCTACTTGCCGGAAGTTGGTGGGTATAGCAAGTCTAGCTATAACTTCTTCCTGAAACACAATCTTAGCTAAATAATGATATACAGTATAAACATATATAATATAAATTATATTTTAATATTGTTTTAAAAATATTTAAAATGTATTTTACCGAAAAAATGTGAAGAACTATCCCTCTTGTGTGTACGAACCAAAGGCCAAAGTTATTTGATCTGTTAATCTGAAACATAAAATGGTTATAATATAATCCTAGTAAATATTTGTTGTATTGTTTTCTTACTGAGTCTCCACGGGGTAAAAGCACTCGTTCTGTATTTAGCCGCCTACGTCTAGTGGGTGGTGGTGAAGAACTCTCAGATATCTGTAAAAATAAAGCTTATTAAAAATAGAATAATAATAACTAACTGTTAGTTTAACTATTATTGAAATCAACTCATCTGTTGGTTGCTAGACTTTTTTAAAATTACAACCTTAAACTAAAATTAAAGTTTTAATATTTTTTTATCATAAAACTCTGTTACATACCTAGGATTATTTAATATCTAAGATATGTATTATATAAGGAAAACTATAACTTACATTATTTATAGCTCTTCTTTGTTCATTTTGTCTACTCTGTAAATAGAAGGAAATAATATTATTACCATATTTGAACTAGTAATATTATTACTGAGTCTCCACGGGGTAAAAGCACTCGTTCTGTATTTAGCCGCCTACGTCTAGTGGGTGGTGGTGAAGAACTCTCAGATATCTGTAAAAATAAAGCTTATTAAAAATAGAATAATAATAACTAACTGTTAGTTTAACTATTATTGAAATCAACTCATCTGTTGGTTGCTAGACTTTTTTTAAATTACAACCTTAAACTAAAATTAAAGTTTTAATATTTTTTATCATAAAACTCTGTTACATACCTAGGATTATTTAATATCTAAGATATGTATTATATAAGGAAAACTATAACTTACATTATTTATAGCTCTTCTTTGTTCATTTTGTCTACTCTGTAAATAGAAGGAAATAATATTATTACCATATTTGAACTAGTAATATTATATAACTCTAAAAGAATTTTTTGTCAAAACATTTTGTTGGTTAGGAATATCTGTGTAGTCTAAATATATACACCTGTGTGTTTAATCATGCTTAACATTATATGTTGTAGCTTTCTGAAATTATAAGGCTCTCTTATAAATAAAAATTAAATCACAAACTATGATCAAGTATATATATATATAGTATAGTTGAGATAAATAGAACTTGTTTGAAATGTAGAACTTTGTGATTGGTTTGTAATAGAAAAAAAGCTATTAAAATAAGTAGAATTTAAAATCTTGTTTAACAAACTCTAACTAATTCTAATCTATAAATATACTTACAGCTGATCTTAGAATATCAAGATCATCTTGAAAGAAGGAATCTCTTGAACTCTGACTTGGTGGAACTACAGATCCAGGGCTTGAAGGTGGTGAATCTATGATGCTTGAATTTGGGCTTGATGGTGAACTAGCTGGTGAGTTGTTTTGTATAGGAGTTACTAAATAGTTATAGATGTGATCATTTATGTGTATCCAGTTTGTATTAGCTGTAAAACGCCTTGTTGTTGTTTGCCAAGCCCAAATAGGGTTGTCTTGAAGTGTATACATTCTGATCAATTGCCAATTATATCCATCAATGTTTTCATGTATGATAACTATACAATTAGAGGGACCTGCTCCTTGTATTTGTATTTCATGTATTAGTTGTTGCGCCGTTTGCTAAAAAACAAATAATTAAATTATATAGCTGATTAAAATATAAACAATAATCTAGAAACTTTTAAAACAGCTAGAGCAGAGCCTAAGAGTATAAGACTAGTTTGCAACATATTATTTATATAGATTATAAATATGTTTGTTGCTTAAATTATAAATACTAATAACTTTTAAAGAGTTAACTTAATCACCTCACTATAGTCATCAAAACTAAAAACAAATTCTTAAAGCTCTTGTGTAATTGATTACTGTGTAAAATCTGTCTAAATAAAAGGTTTAGTAAAATATATTTGATTTAGAGTAAAGTTTAAGATATGAGAGGTGACAAAAATACTTAATCTTGATATATTGTAAAAATCTAATTATATATATTCAAGTTATATAGCTTACCCAGGTAATCGGATAAAAGTTGCTTAATACATGTGGCGGGGAGCGAGGCGGTAAAAGCGGGTTAGCTTCTAAAATGAGAAGATGGCCAAAATCGTTTTGAAAAAAACTATCTGTCTCCATAGCAACAAATGGCTGAAAACATAAGTAGAATTAAAAACCTAATAAGTTGAATTAAACACTTAGATAAGTAGAAGTTTATCTATATAAAGCTTCTACTTACAACAAGAACAGAAGATTCAGCCTCTCTTAACATATCTCTTAAGTGTGAGTTAAAGACAATCCTTTTTGATATAGGTGCTTGCCGAACATTAGGTCTTGCAAGCAGTTGACGTTCTTCAGAGTTATAGATGCACCATTTCTCTATAAAAAACATATTATGATTAATAAAAAATACTTTTTAAAAGAGAGACACTATCTATATAAATAAAATTAGAGTTTTGTCTGTATATCGGATAAAATTATAAACTTTTTATCTTTTGGTTTTTTGATTTCTGATAACTAGGAAAAAGACCTTGAAATAGTGTTGTATATACGTGGGAAATTATATTTTTAAATAAGCATTTTTAGTCAAGATTTAGTATATAATTGATAGATAAAACTGATAGTAAAAATAAAAGTAGGCCTATTATGTTTTATTTGTCACCACTGGTGGTTTAATTTTGTTAAAGTGCATCTCATGTGATAGGATATATTAGGGTTAACTAGTAGATACAGATAATTAATCCTTTTATTGATTATTATATTGGTTTAAAACAAACAACATAAATTAAGTTATATATAATAGTGAGCATATCTAAGAATACATAAACCAACTGTTTTATAAGGTTTTAACTAAATACTATAAAAGTTTTATATTACACAGCTAGTGATTATATATTTTTAAATAAAACCTACCATTAATCGAAGTAAAGTGATGACTTGTGATGACTCTATGATATGGACTCCAGTTTGTTCGGGAGGGTTACTTATCGACCACATATCTCGAATCCTATTTTGAGCATATTCCTAAAAACCATACATATATAGATTAAAAATAAAGAATTAGACAAACTAATACTACTACTATTAGAGGTACTTAAACTACATAGAGACCTACATACCTCAGAAATTGTCCAGAAGCCCGTAGGTATAGGTGGTATTAGGTCTAGATTATCATAGTCTAATGTGACAAAGGAAAGGACATCCCCATGCACATTAATGAAGTAATGTTCCAAGTCAGCATTGTAGGGATATTGATCCAAAAAGGTCTCCAAACCACCACCCCACTGTAATAACAAATATATATTTATACAAAAGTTATGAATTAACTATCAAATTAAACTATAATTTAGCTCACAGCCCTAATTAACATATAGGCAAAATTTTATGAATATTTAAAGTCAGCTGTTGGTAAAAGTTGGTTCTATGATATACATTAAAATTACCAATAGGGTGCAGTCTATTATATTTATAAAAACAGCTTCAGCATAGACAAAAATATACAATGAGAACTAGTAAAATTGTTTACAGTTAGGTTTTTAAATTTGTGATATCTTTTTAGGTTAAATAATAAAACATTAAAGTAAATGTGTATACAACAAATATAAATAAAGATGAATAATAGTTTACTTACAGTTTCCAAAATTGATCGTTCTCTTTCATCTCTTGTATCTCCTTCTATTGTTGCCCTATCCTATAAAAACATATTCATTGATAAAAAACACTAACAAAGAGCTTTTCCTAATTAAAAATAAATAATTATTTTATAATAAATATATTAAAAAACACAAAGCTACTTTTAATTATTTATCTAAAGTTGTATAATTATATAGTACTACTTACTTGACCATTTGGGGGCAGATTTTCATCAACTGCTTCAGAGCTGATTAGTAGTCTCAATACAAGTAGTATGAAGAATAACACCATATTAGCTATGATGAAAACTAACATAACAATAATCCATATAGCAGCTACAGCTTATATATATATGATTGGAGGGAGGGAACATCTGAGTTAACCACATTTTCCACCTCCTTCCTAAGACAGTATTATCTGTCACTATTTCCCCTCCTCTCCAAAGCAATATTATCTGTTACTATCATCATTTTCTAACAAGATGCCTAATGGTGTGTGCTGGAGCTGTCGCCGCAACGTCTTTTGTTGCTCTATTGAAGAGCACTGGGGAGAATGGCTCTCCCTATGTTGCCAGTATGTATCTCTAAACTTAATTTATAAAATTTATTTCTCAAGAGTTTTTAACTTTATACTGATTCTAATACTCTTTTATATGATTTATAGATGCAGCGATATGACAGCAGAGGAAGTATTGACTGTCTATTATGGACAATATAAAGAATATGTGGCTGAATGCAGCCACGAACTAGAAGAGGAGGAAGAAGAGGAGGAAGAAGAAATAGAAGAAGATGAAGGAATTGAGGCCGATTTAGAAGAAAATTGGTAAATTTATTAAATATATTTTCACTTAGGTGACACAGGTTTAAGTTTATAGTAGGATCATTATTTTATATAACCATATAAAAACATATATAATGTCTAAAGTTTAAATATCACAAATATTTTTAGGTATCCACTTTTATTTTAGGGTCCACTAAATCCCTACACATATATTTTTACATAAAAACATACACTTAACTAATTAACCCACCCCCAACTAAGTTATTTGTCCAGTTAAAACTAAGCAAATTTTAACTTATATTTTTACTAAAAATATTTATCCCTAATTTAAATATCATTAAATTTAACAAACGCTTAGGGTTGCTACAGCAGAGAGTAGTAAAAGTATTTTTAACTTTAATTGTATAAAATGATATAAGCAAACTATAACAGTTTACAATTTTCTCCATAAAAATAACATAGAAGTAACTATTTGGCACACAATAATGTTTTAATCTACTAAATTATTTTTAGGTTAAAAACCTGTTTTACTTTATAAAACTCTTGGTTCAGCTATGTTGGTAGCCTCTAGGGTTATCAAAATAAAATTGGTTCTAGGTCTTATTATAATATATTAGCTTATTTCCTATATAGAAATTTTGCTAAAACCAAAATTTTTATACAACTTTTACTAATTTAAATGATAAAAACTTATTAACAATTAAACTAAGTATTTTAAAACACAATTGTTATACAAATTGTCAAACAGCTACAATAGTTTTAACAATAACTTTCCTTAAAGATGTTTTTTTTACATAATAATAAATATAGACTATAATAGGGATCAAGATATATATCATTTTACTTTATTTATATTGAAACTATAATTATAATATCCTACTAAAAAATCAATTTCTTATCTATATTATAAATTTAAAAGTTTGTGTGATTATATATATTACTCTTAAACAACTAAATAGATTAAGCTAAAGTTTAACACAATAATAATATATAGCCTCAAATATATACATATTTTATGAGTATTTAAAGTTAGCTGTTAAATCTATACATTAAAAATTATAAAATTCTCTAATAAGGTATAAGGTATTTATCTTTGTATTTATAAAAACAGCTTCAGCAAAGACAAAAATATATAATATAAACAATAAGTAGGATTGTTAACAATTAGATTTTCAAAATTGTGATATCTTTTTAGGTTAAATAGTAATATTCCAACTAAATTACAAATTAACTTTTGTCCTTCATTAATGCATAACTTGAGTATAACTGCAATACACCTTATATGCTAACCCAAAATAGGTATTTTGTTAGTAAAATAAATCACCGAGATTTGCTTATAAATATTTTATACAATAGTATTATATTTTTAATTCCCCAATAAATTCTCTATAATTTATATATCTCAAGATTTTTTTTTGTAAAGATTACACAAAATCATATTCGACATTGGTTTTACCACAGATAATAGACCGGATAAAACATGATAATAATTGACCATTTTTATAATTCTTATCTGACCCTATGCCACTAAAGATATCAAAGTCCGTTACAAGAAACCATACATCCTGTTGTACTATCCTCATCGTTATCGAGTACACTTATCACAGCGGATGTGTGTTTTTATTTAGATAACCCTTTCCGCCTGACAAATAATTTATATCTAGTATAGTTTTTCCTTATAAAAATTATATATACACATCTTTTAGCTTTATATTGGATAGGGTTTGAGACTATCCCCTCATTAAGTGAGGCCAAGTTAAACGTTATACAACCTATCCAGTTTATAATATTATATACCAGTTTATAATATTATATAATATTATATTGGTTGATGTTGTATAACGTTCTCTCCTTTATTTATAAAGCTTTTTTTGTCAAGTCTATAGATTTAGTTATATAACCCTACCAAAGTTAACATTCAAAGTTTGCGAGCGGTTTAGTTGGCCTCGCCAGTGACTTTCACTCATGGTTTACGGGCTGTTTAGTTGGCCGCGCCAGTGACCAATAACATTCACACAAGTACAAAGAGGGGCACAGGTTATATCCAATCTGAATCCCTCAGTGTACACACATTCACACAAGTACAAGGAGTAGCACAGGTTCTTCTAAATCTGAACTACTCAATGTACACACTCACACCTTGGTCAGGTTACATAAGTATATATCTATAGACTTGTTTTTTTTTTACTAGGAGAGCTATATACATTTATATACAGTGAAAATTACAAAATTATTTACAAAGAAGTTTACATTAACAATACACTTTATGTGGCTCTTTGGACTTTTCTATATCCAAAAGGTAAAGTATCATATTGACCTTCATACCTCCTTTTAGGACCAGTTATTTTAAACACTTTGCTCTCAGTGATGGTGACGATGTCTCTGTCTCTAGTCCTTCTGATTCTACTTTCTTCAATTTCAACAGTCTGTTTTGCTTCACTCAGAACCATCTCTTTTAATTTTTCAAAATTTACAACTTTTGATGTTTTAAAGTTAAGGGTGAGGCCCTTGATTTTACATATTGGGATCAATTTTTGTTGATTGGTTGACCAGACAAGGTACGCGTAAGTTTTAGGCCCCCCAGAGACAAACTCAGTGATATAAGAGCCAGGTCCATACTCTACTAATTCGTCAGTCATTTCACCGAGGTAATCTCCTGTAGACACCCTATAAAGACCGTTTCCATATATGTAAACAACACTGTCAGTATCATAATATAATACTTGAGCTCCTAGGGCCTCCAAGGTGTTCATAGAGCTTGAGTCTCGCCTGCGAGGTAGTGTAGGCCGCGATACAAACGTTTATGTTACCAAGAGGTTCACCTACCTCCATCAGGTATTCCCATGAAACTACAACAACCTCATCATTAACAATCTGAAGTCTGTTTACTTTAATTTCTGGGCTAGAGAACATTTGAAATAGGGTTTTGGAGTCCCTAACAATTGTAGCCTTAGTCTGATTCTCCCTCTGACCAAATTTTCCCCAAAAACTGTTTAACATTAATTTTGCCAAAGATCTCAAACCTCCATTCTTAACCATCTTTTCTTTCTCCAACTTAATTCCCTCGTGTCCCAAATACTCTGCAATATACTTATTTTTGTCCTCCTCAGTCTTACACCATTCCGGATAGCCCGAAGCTTCCTGTTTCATCTTAAGAAATTTATTGATAAAATCGGTGAACAAACCCCCATTTTCATAAGTCGCTACCTGATACTCCCACAACTCATACATATCCAATACAATATACCCTTCCTCTACCGCCTTTCTGATTTCATCCATTGTCCATGTCCCAACTAATACCCTATCATCACTGTCATGATTACACTCTCCCTGATACATCATTTCCCCACACGTTCTGCACAACACAAACATCAATTTATCATTCATTTTTGTAGGGAGTACAGGGTGGTAGAGATCACGAGGCGGCAATACTTTACATTTTAACAAACCCTCTACACCCATACCTCTTTCACGACACTCCCTGTCTCCTACATAGATGGTTGGGTGGCCTATGGGCTACTTCCCATACTTACAAACATAAGGGTATAGGGAACAAACATCAACATACTGTATAGTTTCCCCCTCAACACATTTGTGATACGATTTTGCGTTGCCCGTCCTACCTCCAAAAAAAGCCTGCCTTGGATCAAGTGGGAGATTGTTTAAGATAGGCAAACTATCCAGATATTTAAGCTGCTGATCTTTTTTTGTTTACGAAATTCGCATTCCCACATCTCTACTAGTGCGTGTTCTGTAAACTTTGCATTTTTAGCCTTGGTTCGCTCATAGCGAAGATGTAGGCTATCAGAAGGATCCTCTTTTAAAGGAGCGTGACGGTTGTAAGGAAAACATTTAACACATCCATGGAAATAACAACCATTAAATTCGTAGATGTTCCTGCCATCAAAACCATCTACTTTCATTCCATTAACTTTGACTTCTTTACCTCGACCTGCGTGGTCAATCCTAATCCCGTTGGTTTCCTCGACCCAAGAAAGCCACTGGAGCGCTATATTTAATTGATTATCTACCAATCGATAGCCATTCTTAGGGATGAGTCCAATAGTGTTAGGTTTCAGGAAATTACGGCGGAAAGCTAGATTGCAGGCACTTGCAATGGTAACAGCCTCGAGAAACGGGTCAACATTACACTCTTTTAGGAAAATTGAGCGAAACTTTAGACAGGCTTGAGCCAAGATATCAACATCTGAAATACAATAGGCTAGGATCTCATTTTTGAAGTTGAACTCATAGTTACTAATGACCTGGTCGCTGTACCATTTTTCAAAGTCATTGTGGGATTTCTCAAACATAGATTCGGGACAGTAGTACTTTTTGTCCGGCATACGGCCTACATAGTCTTGATTTGCCAGAGTATTGAACAGGTGGGGAAAGTAGCCTTTCTTTTTCTCTGGAGGTAGGTCAAAGGCTTTAGGCAGAGCAGACAAAGCCATAGGGAAGTAGCTAAGTGAGTCAACAAACCTCACATTATCAATTTCCATTAGAATGATTTTAGTTCCCCGCATTACAAGTTCCGGTGTGAATTTTGTTTCTTCCAACAGGTACTTTAGTAGAAATTGAAAGTCAAACCCCTGCCCATTGTGTGCAATTACACAGATTTTTTTAAACTGTTTCCTCACTGACATGACATAGTTCATAAACTGATTGAAAGGGTCAGAGTCAAACACTCGTGTACGATTTTTACATGCTATACAGAATTTCCCCTCAATACACTGATAACAAAATTGCTGGGACACACACAAGTTTACTTTATGCACTTTACTTTCAGGGTCAGAGGGCAGAGGCTCATCCTGACGGGTTTCCAAGTCAAAGAAAATAAAAGCATAATCTTTAGATTTAGGTTTACCCTCATTAGGTTTCATATAACATTTATGGTTAGGATCTTTAAATGCTCCACAAGGTTTACAAAATACTTCCCCACACTTATGTGGGGTTGATCGTTCCTTAAGCAAAACTAGTTTCCCGCAATCAAGACATTTCTTTACATGTTTACACCTATCAACCTGATGCGCAATGAAACAGCGTTGGTTTTTATAAGTTAGATTGCATTTAGGACACAAGATTCCCCCATACACCTCTACACAAGGAGGTGAGATAGTCTGACACTGTGGGCAAATGTTTGAACAGCGGTGCTCACGTTTGTGATCATACGGGACATGACAACCATCACAGAAATAGTTACATACAAAAGCAGCAGTCAGGCTAGTAATTACATTGTAATGTCCATTATGAAACAACAAGTTAATTTTAAACTTGGGGTTCTCTACATTTCCCTCAAAATACACATCCCGACCTTTAGCGTTGTAGTTGTACACAGTGATTTTATAGTCTTTAAGCAGATGTTGGAATTTTTCAAGCTCAGAAATACCTGTCAGGCATCACGACTCTTGCTCTACGTACAAGTTCCTGAGCCCTAACAGTGTGTCTTTTTCTATCATCTTGTCTCACAGCTTTGTATTCGGGATCTTTAGTTATATTAGCTATAGCCACTACAATAGCACGAGGAAGACACAGGTTATCTTTATTGTTAATTACAACAATCCCAGTCCTAGCTTTACATTCTTCGTCAAAGGTGTTGTACAAGCCTGGTCTTCTACGGGTCCCTGATCCTACAGGTAGATTAACTCGGGTACATTCGACTTGAAACGTGTCTGTGGACTTGATTGATTCAGCGTTTGATTGCACAATTCCCCCAAAGATTTGCCATAAGACATCCTCGTTTACTTCATTTGCAGGGCGAAAAGCAACAAACCCCGGCTCTTTACTTTTTAGGTTAAGTGAACGCAGAGTGAATCCCAATTGATCGCCCTCCTGACAAACTTCTTTCATTTCATTTACAATTTGACCAAACCCTTGTCTTAGCCAGTCAATCTCAGTAGTTTCAGGTGGGGGGTTAGAAAACTTAAAAACAGTATTAATTCCATGAATTCTAAATCTCTTTACATAATTTTCATGTTTATCTAGAATATTTACAGGGACAACTACTTCAACAGAATCTTCTACAACATTTACAGGTTCATTATTATCAACAGATTCATTGGAATCTACTGGAGCAGAGTTACTTACATCCGTCATCTTGAAGCACTGGGAGCAAAGTGATGCAATAATGGCAGGGTTGCGATAAGGGTTTATATAGGGACAAGAATGACCACAAATGTGGTTATCAAAGGTGACGTGGTACACAAGAGGAAGTGATAGCTGTTGTTTTAGATGATGCAATACCACAAAAGTGGTTATCAAAGGTGGTTATCCGGTTGTGATTTGGTACACAGGAAGTGATAGTTGCTATTTTAGATGATGCAATACCACACAGGATGTCGACATTATATTTAATATTATATACTATATAATTATTATATACTAATTATGTTTATTATTTGTTTCAGATGGCTGCCCCTCTCCTCCTCCTCTACTAGCGCTAAGTATTTAGTTGTAGAAATATCAAAATATGTATATAATATAAATAGAAATAATATAAGTTTGTATATATATATATATATAAATAAATTCATATTTAGCTTTCACAGTTGTTTTCATTATTCTTTCAACTAAATATCCAACATGTTTTAAAATTACATAATCTAATAGGGGTAGCAGTCCACCAGCTAAAACAACCAGTAGAAAAATTGGCGGGAAAGCAGATAATACAATACATAAAGCTAGGTTATGTTACATACAAAATCACATAAGCGGCTAACAATAGTTGGCAGCACTAGTGCTACAACCTAGTAGAGAATTTATAAACTAATACCTCAACTCAGAGTAATAAATTAATAGATTTGTCTAGGTTAAAAGTGAGGTTATGTTACATATACACAAAATCAAACCTTCAGAACTCATATACCAACGGTTAACTATACCTTGAAACAACATATCACCAAAAATAACACATTTAGTGATTGGTAAGAGTTGAACCCGTAAACCTCTAAGATTCACACTACAATACAATACTATACAAAAAACTACCTAAAGTAACTCATTTAGCATAAATTAGATGTAAGTTTAACATAATATATTTGGTGACCTTTACAAAGGCCATTTTTATACTCAGTGGTAAAGTTTAGCCTTCTTTCAGCTGTTTTTAACATCAGATACATAAATTATCATTTGTTTCATCACACTATAGCATATATAGAATAACCTCCAATAATATATTAGTTAGCATTAAACCTCTAGTATAGGCTAAAATTAAACCCACAAACCTCCAACCAATATTTACACACCCTGTATATGTAAGTTACAGAGATACACATATACAAATTATAATATCAACATAACATGCTCAACGGTAAAGTTTAAACACTATACACTATATAAAATAACCTCCAATACTACTACACATTTAACATTCTTTTATGATCAACGGTAAAATTCCACTTAAGCCCTCTTTCAGCTGATTTATATTTATCATACACTATAAAATAACCTCCAACATTTACCAATTATGATCAACAGTAAGGTTAAAGCATTATACACTATATAGAATAGTTTTTTTACAAATCCTACTAGGATAGGATTGAACCCGTGAACCTCTAAACCAAGTGACGTAATCAGCTGAAATAAACAGCTGTGGTTAGATTACATCTGGCATTGAACCCGTGAACCTCTAATAACATGTTTTGTGATTGGTTAGATTCGAACCCGTGAACCTCCAACCAATATTTACACACCCTGTATATGTAAGTTACAGAGATACACATGTAAAAATTATAAAATCAACATAACATGCTCAACGGTAAAGTTTAAGCACTATACACTATATAAAATAACCTCCAACATTTACCATTATGATCAACAGTAAGGTTTAAGCATTATACACTATATAATGTGTTTTTTTCCAGACCTACTAGGATAGGATTGAACCCATAGACCTCTCACTATAATACCATTAGTGGTTGGTTAGATTCGAACCTGTGAACCTCTAGCATAGGGTTAGGATTAAATAACCAGAAATGATAGGTTAGATTCGAACCCGTGAACCTCCAATAATATGTTAGGATTGAACCAGTGAACCTCAGTTACCATTAGATAGATTCGAAACCTCTAACATAGGTTAGATTCGAACCCGTGAACCTCCAATGATAGGTTAAAATCAAACCTCCAATACACACCCTGTATATATACATATGTTATATAGGTACAAGGTGTCATTTACCACCCTATATCTAAGTTAAGGTGTCATTTACCACTATAAACTCTATATCCATAACTGCTGTTGTAGCTCTACCAGCTAACGCGTACAACTACCAATCAAAAGACCCGAGTTCGATCCTCGGTCAGGCCAACACTTTTTATCCACAAAATACAAACACCTACTGACGTCACGTGATCAGCTGATTATGCGCATTCGAGATAAACAGCTGAGAGTACCCTATCTACACCTAGATCATCTCAAGGTCAATTTCTGCCCGATCGCTGGGTAGCCTACTTTTACATATTCCCATCTTGCTAGTGATAACATTGTTTCCAACATTGCAAAACAAACATTGAACATTGCAACAGATTTTTATACAAAGATGCAGACGGCCAGTTGTGTACAGTTAATACAGACGGGGAACGGTTTCCAGTGTGCAGTAAATGCAACTTAAACATCCGTAGAAGAGTAAGTAACCTAGAAATGTCAAAAGAAGTATTGTAGGTCAAGTCTAATAAAAAGACGTCCATCTCGTTCTACATATTTAATACAAGAGAGTGAGCTAAGCTAATTTACAAATCATAGAGTCATCGTCTCAACAAGGAGTAAACATACATCAGCATAGAGTTATTAAATCAAAGTCTCCTTGTGATGAGTACTATATGACACTTCCCTTCTTAAAATAAAATGGAATTTACAAAACTAAAATCATTTCAAAATTTGAAACATGAGAAATACATTTTTTATTTTTTTTTTAATATAGCCTAGCTCAAAACTAAAAACATCTTTTACACAATTAAAAATTAGAACAAGTCATTAAACAAATCAAGTACATTTCTTTTTATGATTCAACCCTCTCTCCAACATTATTAAAATGAAACCAAAATTCACATTTGATCTTATTAACAATATAAAATAAATCATTATTACTCAAAGTTGTACAATAATCATATTTCACCTAGCCTACAAGAAAAATTAGATTTAAAAATACAAAATATAGCCTAAAACAATTTTCCAGTCAAAACAAATTTAAGTACCATCAGATATGAAAAGACACAATATAGGCCTAACCTAAAATAATTTTCAACTTTCAAGTTTAACTTTACAAAACATAAGAACCATTTGGATGTGAAAAGACATAATATAACCTAAAATATTTTTCAACTTTCAAGTTTAACTTTACAAAACATAAGAACCATTTGGATGTGAAAAGACATAATATAACCTAAATTATAATTCAAATTCATTTTCTTGAAACTTAAGTACCATCAATTATAAAAGACAAAATACACACTGAAAAATGATATTCAACATTTTAAATAAAGAATTGTGATTGACGACTACAAATAAATTCACTCATAGCCTATTAGCCTATTCATTCATAGCCTACTACAAATTCAGTTTCTTGGGAGGATTGACTATCCTACCGTAGCGGCTTCTGGTGATAGTTTCAGGACTAGTTACAGGAGGTAGGTCTTCATTAGGGATGGTATGAGGTAAAGATAATCGAGGACTTCGAGTGATGTTAGGCGAAGAACCAGGATTGGTCGGAGAAGGACCAATGGGAGACGATGAACCTCTAGAAGGAGGGGATAGGATAGGTTTTTTTGGGGTGGTAGGTTTTGTTTGTGTAACCTTTGGACTTAGGCTAACATTACATTCATTTTCATTTACCTTTGGCGAACCTGTTAGGTACGGGCGAACATGCCTTCTGTTTCTGACGTAGCACCTGTCATTTGCAAAACATTTTACAACATAGGATCTAGGTACATTTCTTTGATTAACAATTTTACCTCTGACCCATTTCTTATCATCTAACTTCATCAACACATTTTCATTAGCATGTAAATTGGACAATTCTTTTGAGCCTACATCATAGTACTTCTTCTGTGATAGTTGCCTTTGTAACAGATGAGTCTTAACAAATCTATTAACTTTAGGTTTTAATTCTTTGTTGTCATGAGGAAGTAGTCCTCTTACCTTTCTGCTATACAATATCTCACAAGGAGAAGGCAAAGTGGAAGATACAGGAGTGTTCCTGTATTCTAAAAGCGCTAAAAACAGATCATTTTGGTCATGTTCACATTTCTTAACTAGATTTTTGATACTCTGTATCGTTCTTTCAACCATTCCATTAGCTTGCGAGAAATGAGGACTCGTTAAAATATGATTGAATCCCCAATCATGTGAAAACTTTTTAAATAGTTCTCCTACAAAACAAGAATCATGAGCAGTTACGATAGTTTCTGGTATACCATGCCTACTAAAGATTGATTTCAAACATGTTACGATTGTGACACTTGATATACTATTTACACATAACACTTCAGGAAACTTTGAAAAATAGTCTACAGCTAACAAATAAAACTTACTTTTATACTGGTACAAATCAATACCTATTTTCTGCCATGGAAGATCTGGAACAGGGTGAGGCAACAACGGTTCCTTAGGATAATTTTTTGCATACAACAAACATGATTCACATTTACCTACCATTTCTGCAATTTGATTGTACATATTAGGCCAATATATAACATTCTTAGCTCTAAGTTGGGTTTTTGTGATACCCAAGTGAGGGTAATGCAGTCTCGTTAACATTTCACTTCTTAGGGAATTAGGAATTACGATTGCAGTACCATAGTAAATCAAACCATTGCAGTGAGTGAGTTCATGTCTTACAGGCCAATAAGGTTTAATACAATCAGGGACCTGTCTTTTGTGAGTAGGCCACACATTACCAATAAGATACCTTTTTAGCACACACATTTCATTATCAATATTTACAAGGTTTTTTATCTTAGCTAGTTGACCATTACTCACATTTATGTTAGCTTCAATAGAAGATACATATGCTTCAATATCCTTAGTGTCTAAATCAAGGTCTGAATCGTCTGAAACATTGAATGCTCGAGACAACGTGTCTGCGATGAAAAGTTCCTTACCTTGCTTGTAAAACAAATCAAAATTATACTGTTGCAGTTTCAATAACATACGCTGCAATCTGGGAGGACATTGTTCAATATTCTTTTTTACTATAGATACCAGGGGTTTACAATCCGTTTCAACAGTGAAATGTCTGCCATAGACAAATTGGTGAAATCGTTCACACGCAAAAACAATTGCCAACATCTCCTTTTCTATCTGTGCGTAAGCTTTTTGGGTGTCACTTAAGGCTTTAGATGCATACGCAACAGGTAGGTTATTCTGAATTAGGGCTGCACCCATTCCGCTTTGACTACTATCAACCGTCAGCAAAACTGGTTTTTCATTATCAAAATACTGTAGAACAGGCTTTGACG